AATATAACGTGTTCACTATAGAAAATTTGCAAAGTGAGGAAAGTACAAAATGAAGTGGAAAGGAAGACCCACGCCCCAAAGGGTTTTGGTGTTTTTTACTTTTTTGTTATGCTCCTTTTCTTTTTTTCCTATGCCAGATGTATTTTAGAACTTCACAGAATTTGCTCTCTTTTCTATTGATTTCTTCATGAATACTTTAGGGGCAGAGGAAGAATTCATTCACCAGAGTGTGGAACTTTAAGATAGGAAACACACAATGGTTATCTCAACCAACCAAGACTCATCCCTTGATGATGAGTGGCCAAGTCCATTTACTGAAGCCCCAGTGATTCATGCAGAATCCTACAGCAGTGAGTGACAATATGAACTGAGTAGCTCTGCTCTTTTGCCAGCAATACCCCGCTGCTGCCGAGGGGGAAACTTGACACTGCTCATGTATGCTATCTTTGAAAGAGAGGTTCAGAGAGGGGCACAGGTCATCTTCAAGAATTTGAAATTCTTTGTTTTCGTTTCAGATTTTCATTTTTTTCTGTTTACATTTTCAGGTTTGGGGCCTTAGAATCTTGCAGAAAGCAGAACCACACAGTTGCATTTCCATCTAGACCCTCTTTAAGTCCCTCTTCAAAACTGGGGGCCTCTGGAAAGCTCTGAGCCTGTGACCCCAGCGTGGGAGAAGATAGGTACAAGATGGCCATGTGGCAGGGTAAGAAATTAGCACTTATTCCTCTAACTGGTTTTTCCTCCTGCTGTCTTCCACCCCCACCCAACCACCAGAGCCAGTGGCTGGCAGCCAGCTGTTTCTTTAATTTAACTCTTTCTTTGCAAGGACAATGCACATTCATTTAAGAGAAGCTGTTGTCAGCTACAAGTTCAAATGATTTTCAAGTGGATGTGAGTGGGGTCTGAGACAGATGTTAGGCAGTCCATTTAAAAGACCTTCCTCCACTTAAACATGTATTCCTGGGGATTAGGCGTGAGGAGATTTTTTTCATATTTGTGGTTTTCATTTGTTTCAAGTAAATTTGTATTGTAAGATATCCTCTCGAAAGGAGGGGAGACACACTTTGCTGCCTTTCAAGCTTCCTGTTCTCAATGAAGACTTTCTTGAGGTTTTGGCAGTTGAAAAGACCCATTGAATATTATGTTTATATTTTGATGCTAGAAAGAAAATGCTCATTTTAGTATTATCAGCCTGAGAGCCAAGCTCAACAATGTTTGGGCTGGTAAATTACATCTCTTGTTGTGAGTTTCTGTTGCATGCAAAGTTATTTCTTTGCGGTTGGGCATTGCTCTTCAGGATAGTATCAGAATTTTCATCAGAATCTTAAGATCACCACAGAAGAAATGTGGGTTTAAGAAATGATTGACAAAAACTATTGAACTGTGTCTCTGACCCACAGAATGTTCAGGGCCACTTACACGGAATAGAGTAAAATAGCTTCAATATCTACGAATATTCAAAAGCTAATTTGTTTGTTTAATGAATTTTTAAAAAATGTTCTATTGTGTTTTTGATTTAAAACATGTACACACAAATGTAACAAATAGTTTTGATATACACAGATTGTCAGTTTAAAGATATTTTTTGAAATGGGATTTGGCTTGTATGCTGGCTTTGATGGGTGTTTATCACAAACAGTTTAGGGCCAATGAGAAGGTTCAGTGAGTAAATATGCTTGCCACCAAGCCGGACAACTTGAGTTCTATCCCTGAGATCCACAGGCTGGAAGGAGAGAACAGACTCTTACAAATTGTCCTCTGACCTCCACATGTGTGCATGTGCCTGTGTGTGTGTGTGTGTGTGTGTGTGTGTGTTCTTGAGCGCGCGCGTGCAGTTAAATCCTGAGAAATTAAATCCTGAGAAATTCTTTTCATTCAATAAGCAGGACAGAGATGGGAGGAAAGCACAGAAGCGTGGAGGGTTCCTCATGATCTGGAAAAGACAGACTTATGAATAAACTATGTTGCATTAAGTAACTATTGCCATAGGGAGAGGTGTAAAATGAGATGCAAGCCTAGAGAAAAAGCACTGGGAACTTGGAGGTTTGAGCTGTTCTAAAAATGAGTAGGAGTTGGCCATATGGATACATGAGAGAATTGCATTCTAGCCAGACAGAGCAGCACTGTTCAGGAACTTCCAGCTTGCTTTGTTTGCCTGGTGTGAGATGAAGCAAGGAAGGTAGTTGGAGGCCAGAAAATAAAGAACCTTATATGTTCTAGGAAGGCTTTTACACTTTATCCTGGACACAATGATTCTAAACAGGGAAGTAACACAAACAGATTTTGTTTTAGAAAGATTACTTTGGCAGCAGTGCTGTGATGAGATGTTGCTGGAGACAGTAAAAAGCCTGGACTAATTGAGAAGTTTTCTGAAATAGTGGTTTAGGGGAAAGATAGTGAGGTCTGAGAAGAGAAGCAAGGGTAGTGAGGCCGGAAAGAATACAGTGAGTTAGTTCCAGAATGTTTTTCGATCAAACTTAATAAGAACTGGCCCTGGACTGATAGCCAGCTTGGCCATGGGAGCCAGTAGTGCCATTCTCTGAGATGAAAAACATGAGATGTGTCTGAAGGGGATGATGGAAGCTAGTGCATTAAACTTTTGACCTGCTTGGTTCCTTTTGATTGCTTTGGGCTGTCAGGTTGATGTTTCAAATGCATTTTTGCAAAAGTATAGAGCCTGCAGTGTATGCAGGAGGGGATCTACTTTTGTTCCTGGTGATGCGTATGAAGAATGTAGTTTTCCTCTGCATTTGTTCAGATGTCTTTAGTTGTTAATGATGTATTATTTCACAGTAAATATCGTAATGTTTAATGATTAACAATTATTAATAAAGAAACCAAATGCCATGTTTTCTTAGTACCATATCTTAAGAGTTTAGGCTCTGGCATGTGATCTGCTTAACTTTACATTGACTGGAAATTCATTTTGTTAAGAAGGAAAGGGGTCTACAAAATTTAGCATTTAGGATCACCACAGTTTATTGGCTATTTTGAGCAACTTATGAAGGAAATGAGAATTCAAGGTTAGCCATGTGAGTCTGGATTGAACTCCTGACTTTGTCACTTGATAGCTGTGAAGCTTTGGACAATTTATTTAAACCCTGTGTGACTCAATGTCCTCCTTTGTAAAATGAGAATGAGACTAGAACTTACTCTATAAGGTGGTGAAGACAAATTGAGTTATATGCAAAACAACTAAACCTAGTATTGTAGAAAAGTTATGTTATAATCATGAGACACTTAGAATATCATTTAGTGTGTAAAAGTATTCATACTTTAGTAATGGCTAGTACTACTACTATTAGCCCTGTCTCTGTTGTTTTACTTTAGTTTGGATGGGACTGGAGCCCCATTCTGTAGAGGTAATTTCAGGTTGTCTCTGGAAGCCCTGCCATGTAATAGTCTGTTTGGCTCTTCAAGTAGAGGTTTTGATCTGAAGTGATTCTTAGGAAACATGTAACTCTGTCCTACAGTCCCAGAGTCCAGGTTGCCCAAGGTCAGATGGAGCCAGGTCCTACTGACAGAACTAAAACCCAATCTCAGGATTCTCTCTTCTATTGTTCTTTTATGGGTTCATGGAAGAGGGACTATGTGGGCCTGTCATCAGCTCAAGGAAGCTTTTGCATTAGTTTTTGGAAGCAACTAGTTGGGAAATTTTAAGAGCTAAAAATATCAGATCTTTTTGGTTTCTTGGGCCATTGTTTTCTAGTCCTTCATGGAGCATCTGATCAGAATTGGTATACGTCTTCAACATGGCCTACGTAATTATTTTGACCAAACTCAGTGGAGCCCTTTAATGCATAGTTTGGCTACTTTAAACAAAGTATGTGTTCATATTTCTGATGACTGAAGGTAAGCATTAAAAATATCAGGGTTTTTTTTTGTCTAATGATTAGGAAAACGGTGAAGAGGAGACTAGCTGGTTTATGATTT